GGCAGGAGAGGAAAGAGAGTATGTCGAGGGGTGGGGAGGGAGGGTGAACTGGCGTGTCAGGGTCTAACAATGAACTGTCTGTGTCAGGAAAACAGTCGTACTCAGCAGGGCTATTTTTAGGGGTTCAGATCCCCCCTCCCTGGGTCTTCCACTCCCCAGCCCCCCATTCTTTTGTGCTGAGTGGCGCCTGGCAGATTGGTGGAGATTTTAAAGCCACCGATAGGAAAGAGCTCAAACACAATGAAGGAAACGCAGCAGGGAGGGGAGAGATGGGTGCCCAGAAATAGCCTGTGTGACGCCTCCGCCACGGCCCCCGGCTCTTAGAAGGGGAAGAAATACTTAAGCCTAATGGCTGAAGCTGTTCCCCAGGCTCTCTGACTGCTTCTGGCATCACCGATACCTTGTCTGTGAGAACGGAGACAACCGAAAAGTCATTATCCGTCCTACGTTCATTCACATACAGGCGCTGGCTTGCCATATCTGCTCCCAAGCTGAAGGGTGAGGCATCGCACATTGGCAACGAAGCGGGATGGGAAGGTGCCCCACTTTCCTGCATGAACCCGCGTCCCTCTCTGACAGGGAGGCCTTTGTGACTAACTTCAAATCCTGACCTATTTTTACAGGTTCAAAGGGAAGGAATTAAAGTAAGTGTCGTGGGCCATGACTTCCTGATTTGGGCTGCGGTACTGTGGGGCAGCGGGCCATCACACTGTTTGTACGGCAGCAGGGACTAGGAAGTAATCTCTACGGAGAGATTGCTTCTGTGAGAGTTCTGCCTTGGCTTGGTGTTGCTCTTATTCTGCAGACTCACTTTTTTCTCTTTCAATTTTTTTTTTTTTTTGTTTAGGAGGGAGAGAAATTTCCCCTTCTTTTCCAACTGTTTCAGCTTTGAACTCCTTTTTGCTTTTCATACTTCTGGCCCAAGCTCTTTTCCTCCCCAGCTTTGCCTGTTCTCATCTGTGAAAGCTTCTCCATGAGAGACACTGGCTTAGTCCTTAGCCCTGCCGCTCACCCTAACTATTGCAGAGACCTCCTCAGTCTCCCAGGGTGCGCAAATCCAGACTTATTTTTTCCCTCTATGGAGGCAAACATCGCCCCTTTCCCTTGGTAAAATCCCCTGGCTCAGCACTGATTTCAGACTCTGATACGAAGCGCTTTATTTGTAAATCCTCCCTTGTTTGGTTCCTGCTCACCTTGCCTGACCTCCTCCTCCTCCTCCTCGCCTTGGGCTCCCCTGGCAATCCTGCAGCGACCTCCCCTCTGTCCTCTTTCTGAACCTCGTCCTGGCACAGGGAAAGCCACCCCTGTAGCCCAGCCTGCCTGGCAAGAGCTCTCCTGGAGCTCCTTGTGCCTTCTTTCACTCACTGTGGCACACGCCTCTTTCACCTCGCCTGCCACACCATTTCTTTCCTCTGGCTCCCTTTTCTCTCCATGGGGTACCTGGCATGGGGCAGCAGGACTGCAAACTGCAATGCCTGAGAAAGCCTCTATGAATAAAGTGGGAATCCTCTGTTTTGATTCTAGCTCTTCTTCCCTGGATGTGTGCTGCAAATACTGTTTTTTCTTGGCAGGGGGATGCCAGTTTCTCCCCACCCCACAGTGGCACTCTACTGGCAATGGCTGATGGTGGTTCTGCAGCCTGGCCCTGGGCAAATATCATTGACCCATAGCCTAGCTGGGATCAGGGCAGCAACAGCACAGCCCCCAGATAACCAAAATCAGATAGTAGTGCTTGATTTCTGCAGCATTCATCGGCCAGCAAGGACCCACCACCATGGCTCCCAAAGATGGTGCCTCCCTCAGTGGCTGCAGGGAACCACCACAGAGCTATATCCAAGAAATGGTGCTTTCAGCTGAAAATGCCTGCCAGCCTGTGAGAAATACCAAGGGGCCAGGGTGACAGGCTGACCCAGTGGGCTGGCCAGCTAGCCACTGAAGCCCCTCGGAGCAGGGCTGCACAAGGGAAGGGAGGGGGCTCGTGATGCATGGCGGCCATGCCAGGGCACTCCCTGCTGCGCCTGGGGCTGTAGCTCCCTCCCTGGTAATGTGAGGAAGCCATATGCATGCAGGGGTCGATTTTATATATTTAATTTTTTTTAAGCCATCCTCTATTGTAGATATCCTGTTTGGGTAGGCTTGCAAGGGAGGAGAGGGGAAACCATCTAAGATGAGGGAGGGCATGGAGGTGAGGGCAGGAATGGGGTGCAGTGGGTCATCAAGGCACCGGGGACAGGCCAGGGCAGTGGGCATATACGCTGTTAGTGATGCTGTCTGACGCAGGGTGATGGAGAACATCAGCATGGGGAGTTTAAATGTTCTGTGAGGTTCATGGAGGGAGGGAGGTAGGTGTCTGCACGGAGGAGTTCAGGACTTTGAAGAAAGGACTTTGTGTGATTACTCACAGCAGTGAAGCGGATCCTGTGCTGGGGCTCTGTCCTGCGGGAGAGGGCTGGCATGTGTGGGAGGACATGCCTCCTCCCCAAGGGGCAAGGAGAGGGCTTTCTCTTCCTACAGAAGTCAGCTAGCTGTCCAGGCAGTGAGAGAACAGCCTGGTGAGACATCCAGGTCTGAGCGTCCTGTTGTCTGTCCGACCCGTTTGAAGTCTGCCCCTCGGCAGGCAGGCAGGATGTGTTGCAGCACGCGATGGGTTTGGCAGCACGCCGGTACAGGGAGGGATCCTGTGCACAACTCGACATCACGGTGCTGTGAGAAGCCCAGAATAAATTCAAGGAAGCTTTAAGTGTTTCATGAGCACTAAGGGTCCCTGACAACAACCATCGGTCTGGTGGTGAGAGCTCAGTTTCCCCCCTTAGGCTGGGAGCAGGAGCAGGAGGCTGGGAGCCGAGAGGCCAGACACCTCTCCGGCACCCTTCTGCAAATCATTTTCCCCTCAACCTGCCAGCCACCAAAGCTGTAAAAGGGGGATAATGATGATAATTGCGGTGATAAACTGCACAATAGAAGTTGTAATTGCTCAAGGTCCTTCACTAGGGCTCCAGGTGTTTTTTCTTGTATGTGAAGTCTTACACTCAATACTTTTGAAGGGGGCGGGGGGGTGGGGGTGGGAAGAAGTCACCATACCAACAGACAGAACCTGAGTGGCTTTTGGCAGCAACTGGATCACAGTTGGAGGCTTGATTTCTCTGAAAAACGGCTCATTGTCAAACTACAGGGGTGAGGTGGTGAGTTTGCAGAGGTCTGTGGGAGGCTATGGGGTTTCTCTGCTGCATGAGGGTGCAGAGCCCAGGGTTGAGGACGGAGGTGGCTTAATGGAGTCCTTTGCCCCATTTTCTGGTCAGTTTTCCTCCAAACAAAAACTACTCACTCTCTCTCCATCTTTGGTTTAATTTTTGGTGAAAAGCTGCAATTTCCTGTTTTTAATTTGTTTGTTTATTTTTCACCCAGACCCATACAGTTATATTTGGAGCAAGAGGGGGCAGTGAAGCCGTAGCAGAGTTAAGTTTGGCTCCCTAGGTGAAGCGTGCGGCCCACCAGCATACCCAGTAATGTAAAGAGGTTGAGTTTTTGGGATAAAACATGTGGAGAAAGTGCAAGTGACTGCTCTTATGAGCTGAGATACACATGTACTGAAGGTTAGACTAGAAAGGTGTTGGTGGAGGGCAGCAAGATTCAGGGTTCGAGGACAGACCTGTCCCGTTTCCCTTCTTGCTGCTACTGGGTGATTTCCGTTCCTTGTCTTTAAACCCCTTCGTTGGTTAAGGGGAGCCTTTTTTGGCAGCTGACTCGAAAGTACGTGAACTTAGATGCCAGGACAGTATCTGTTTCTGTTTGCCGGGGAGCTGGGTGGAAAGAAGCCGAAGGTTTCCCTCCTCCCCCTCTTTAGTTTCCCAACTTTCTTCCCTGCTCCTTGTGCTGTGAGCTCCAGCCTGCGCCTCTGGAGAGGAATGCAAATCCTGAAGTGACAGAGTCATGTTCGAGGTCAGGAAGGTGCCTTGTGATGAAGAACTCGATGAACAGAGGCAGAGATTTACTGGAGCGGCTCCTGGTCTCTCTCCTCCTCGCCGGCCCCTCCTCGGGCCTTTTCAGAGCTGAGCGTTGGTAGCGCAGGAAGCGTCTGACTGCGCCGCGGGCTGCGGCTGCGGCTCGGCTCGCAGTGATTTCCTCTCAGGCAGTCCGTTATCTGTCGACTGTCAGGACAGGCTTTCCCTCTTCCTCCCCCCCATACATTGGGACAGTAACTGACTGGAGGTATTGGTTATCTAGGAGTTTAACTCTCTCTCGCACACACACACACACACACACATGCACTTTACTGCCAAAAACTGTCCTCCGCCCCTCTCCTCAGCTAACTTCCTTTCAGCATTTTTTTGAGCTGGATAATCCTAGGATTTGTAAAACGGGGGAAAAGGAGAGAGCGAGCGAGCGGGAGTCAGAACAGGAAGCTGGTTTCTTATTCCTCTAACTGTCCGAAGGCAGGAGGAGGGGAAGGGGGGGAGCCAAAGAGGAGCCTTGTGCAGACTCTTCCCCGGTCCCTTTTCATTAGTCTGTTTGAACTTCCAGTCTCCTCCGAAAGCCAAGAGAAGGAAGACCAGACTGGGACGCTTTCTGCTGGAAGTGGCGACAGCGTGGCTGACAAACCCCAGAAGGTGGCCCTGGAGGGTCTCGGGACCGTGCTGAGGGAAAGACGTCCTCCCCTACCATCGCCTGCCCCCAACTTGCCAGCTCCGATGCGGGCACCCGTCCACCACCCGCTTCCCTCTGATGAGAACCCTTCCGGGCTCGGGCTATGATCGCTGCTGCTGCCGGCTGGGGAGCCTCCTCTTGCCCTGATCTTCCTCTGCCACAGGAGCAGCCCAACATCTGGTGGGGATTAATGTTTACTTCTCCAGCTGGACGCTGTGCGGGACCCCCGATGTTACTCCCTGGGAGCGGGACACAGGCGGTGGTCTGAGAAGAGCAAGATTTTTGTTGCCCAGCGTGAGACCGGGGGGAGGGGGGCAAGGCAGGAGGGGGGGCGAACCTCTTTTGGGACTAACCTCATGAAGAACAAGGGAGCCAAGCAGAAACTCAAGAGGAAGGGAGCCGCGAGCGCATTCGGCTGCGACCTGACGGAGCATCTGGAGAGCTCTGGGCAGGATGGTAAATGCCTCTTTATTCTCACTCTGGTAGCGAAGGAGCAGAGCGCGTGTTCCCCCTTTTCTTACTGGTAGGACAGCAAACCGGACCTTTCCCAAGGCTGAGGGCTAGACAACCTGGAGCTGGTTTATCCCCAGGAAGTGGAGTCACTGCCCAGTTGCTCACAATGAATGAACAATCGGAAGATTGCTTTGGTGACGCGTCTGCATGACCCTTGCATGAGTAGCGCTGCGTGTGGGGAAAGGACTGGGCTAGGGCTTTCGGGCTGCCTAAGTGTGGATAGAGGTGGCCAGCTGTACGTTGTGATGCCCTCTCCCATCGCCTCCCCATGGAAGGGGGTAGCAGGCTTTTAGGGAGCTAGTTTTGGAAATCAGAACTGCGCATAGCGTTGCCTCCTCCCGGACTTGGAAATCCTCCTGAAGTCCATGAGACTAGAGTGTTGCAGGGCTGTAGGGAGGAATTGGGAACGTCCCATCTGCCCTTCCAGGACTCCACTATAGTTCCCATATTGTCCTTTCACTGCTGGATGGAGACAGGATAGAGAATGGGGGGTGGGGTGGAGTAGGGATGTGTATGAGGTGTAGGGGGCAGCTGAGCTAATATTTTCACTGCCCTGCCTTATCTTTCTCTCTTCTCCTCCTCCCTCTGACCTCCGTGCCCCCAGATATCAGAGGAGAATATGGTAGCTCAGACAAGAGGTAACTGCAATAAGATCAGAGTGTCCAGAGCTTGAAATGGTCAGTCCTGGATGAGGGAAGGAGCAGAGCGATTTTTCTTAAAGAGGGTCGGATGATGAGAGAAGGAGCTGAGAGTTTGGCATACAGAAAGACCTGCAGTTTAGCAAGAAGAAAAATAAATACATGCCTGTTACCATCCCTGATGTGGGCATTATGTTCCAGTTTGAATTAACTAACTTTAACCAATGTCAGGCTACTCCAAGCAAAAAAAAGCTGCTAGCAGCAATGTCAGCTTTGTACGGGGAGGGCTGTACAATCAGGTCTTTCATTTGCTGATGAGCATAGCTGATGAAGTACAGTGTGGAACTGCAGTGGCAGAGGGATGGACTACATAAGTAGTCCTTTCCATTGCAGTGAAGAAAGCAGTACATATATCAGTAAGCTAAAATGTTATATATGTGCATTTGTTTAGGTATCAGGGAAAACCAGTCATTCAATGTCATTGTGAGGCATCCATAACAATTACTGTATCTTTTAACTTATACAGCCCTTAACAGCAATTGAATTGAAATAGCAAAAATAACAGACTTAATGAACTGATACCACTTTGCCAGCACAAGGTACAGATAGATAAATTCCATCTAGTGCTAACATGAGCTGCCACAGGAGAAACAATTTACAGCTGTTTACAGGAACACTGAAAAACAACGCAGGGAGGGCAGGCACAGGCAGTATATTCAGTTGAAGCAGCAAGGGGGATTTTAAAGGCAGAAACATAGTTACTGCAGTTGAAATTAGGCCAGAACAGCAAAATTTATTACCCAAAATGCCATACTTTTTTAAAATAGTTTTTTGGGCACAAGAAAGGACATTGTCTCAAGTCTCATTTGTGGGATGGTTCACAGTTCCAGCCTACTTATCTCTCCATGCTGAGGAGCAGTGGGGGAGAATGTGAAGTTCCTTTCCCTTTATGCAGTACTGCTATTTGCTGAATAGCACATCCCGTTGCCCACTGCCGTGGGATCCAGAAATGAAAGACTCAGTTGTTATAGGTTTACTGGAAGGCTGTAGGTTAAGTTAGTTGGTACAATTCAGTTTGTCGGGACAGGAAGAGAAGAAGTGAGAGAATTAGATTTTTTTAAATTTTTTTTTTTTCGTTGTTGGTATGGCTCTCAGGATCAATAGGAAAGTGACCAAGTATGCCAAAGTGACATCTTGGGAAGAAGTGAAGGTTCAGATGTCACCAGGGCATCACAAACTTGCAAACTGTTAACTATGAAACAAAATCAGAGGAGCATTTAGGGTGTGAGAGGTGGTTGATTTGGGGATAGTTGAATTCTCCTGCTAAGAATTATTTCCAGTGACAAGCCAGTGCTCCTGCAAGCAGGGGCTTTGACAGATACGTAAAGCAATAACTTTCTCTCTGCGTTAGATAGTACTACATGTTTAACTGGTGGGATGCAGGCTCTGTTTGTTCCCTACTTGGAAGCAATGAAGATGTAAGACTGTTTATGGTATCTGGGAGTGATGAGGAGGGGGAGAGTACTTTGGCTGCTGTCCAGAAAATGGTTTGTTGTGGACCTTTATGAAAGTAGGTTTTAAAATGCACCCAAAAGGGTTAACTGGAAAAGAAGAAGAGGCTGTAGGACAGGCAGGACACAAGATTGCTTGTGCTTTCATGCTCAAGTCTGCTTTGTGCCATCCTGCAGTGCTCCTTTGTGTAACTGGTCCTGCACGCTCACACAGGCAAAGAGAAGCAGATATCTCCTTTGCTGGTGTTGGGGATTGCAAAGGGAGAACAGGGAATGGCCAAGGCTAGTGTAGACAATTCAATTTGGCTTTTTTCCCTCTGGATTAGTACACGGCCGTTACAGTTAGGGGGTGCTGCACTACTTGTGTGGTGCTTTGTGGAAAAGATGCACAACTTGAGTCCCTACATGCTTGTGGTTGTTGAAGAGAAACTTGGGCTTTCTGCAAGGACCTTAGTCCCTGTGTTGTTGCCAAATTCCAGTGGAGAGAATTATATTCTGCTTAAGGTATCAGCATTTCCTCTCCTGTCATTTAACTGTTTAATAACTTGCTATGGTCCGCTCCAGAGATGGCTGCATTTCAGTGAAGGGTGAAAAGATCCTGCTGTCTCCCTTACCAGACAGATGTACCTAAGGCTGTGTTATAAAGAGCTTTATGATAATACAATAAAAGCTGCAGCAGAACTACAAAGTATTTAAGAGCAGTGTAGATGGAAAGACTTTATCAGGTACAGTGGGTTAGCTCAGGAGACTAAAAATTGATACAAAGCCTTTAGCCCTAAGATGATTCTTCAGATCTGATCCAGGTCAGTGGTGATGGACAGATGTTGCTGTCTGGTGGCTGGTTTGAAGGTCAGATGTGTTGAATTTACTGTATTTCAAGTCAGTTCCTGTCACTACTGCATTTGACCCTATTTGGCCTTTTCCTGCTGGCAGTCTCGACACAGAGACTGGTCATGCTCCTTATGGGGGCAGACTGCTGTAAGTGCTCCCAAGCATTTAAAATCATGACTCAGGCCACAAAAAATCATGAGATAAAATAAGAATCAGTGCTGGGTTCTTTTTCTGCTTTCTGTTTTCTGAAACTTCGGTTTGCATCTGAGTTATGTTTTCAAGTCTTTCTGCTGGCAAGAAGGCGAGACACTTGGGGAAAAATTAACTTTTCTTCCTTCCAACTAAAATTCTCAAACAATGACTTTAATAGCAGTGGCTTTGAGGAAAAGCTCACATAAAAGAATGGTGGCTGGCAATACCAATGAGTAAAAGTTGTCTGATTTAACATAGTGCCTCTTCTGTCACTGCCAGCACTGAATCCACACATGGAGGCAAGTGATCTTTTGGAGTGTCAGAGCTTCACTAGAAAGCAGTGTCAGGCTTTGGGCATGGATAGGCACCCATGCAGGAGGAAGCTAATTTCCTCTACTAAAACATTTTCCTATGTCAAACTTTAGTAAAGTGTTGTACGGGTGCAATGGAGCTAACAGATATTAGCCCTGAAGGATTAACATCAGAGCCGTATTTTGGCCTCTCAATAACCAGCCTGGTTTCCAGAGGAGAAAAGCTGATAGTGTCTCTACTGAAGTCAATGGGAGCTGCACATCAGGCCCCCAGTTCCTGTAATAACAACAGTATAATTTGCTAGTGACGGTTGGGCCAGCAGAGAAGGCAAGGCTCAAGGTTGTACACAGACCTTAGTTGGGGCAGGACAGTCTGAACCGCCTAAGAAAGCAGTCACAAAGAGTAGTCTTGCTTCTGGTTATATCACAGAAATGGTGTAAGAGGGGGCTGAAAAAGTCAAAGCTGTTATAGTGAGAGGGACTAAGTCAAAATGGAGTTTAGTGTTCTCAGTACTTCTAACTATGGGAGATTCAGACTGGGATTTCAGGTACACAACCAGGTACAGCTTCCATTTTTAAAATTGGAAATATAACAGCATCTATAAAAATTTGAATGTACTGGTAAAAGATAATCTGGTCTTTTGCATGGGAACCACTACTGATTCAGACCTACCTTTGCCCCGTTTGCTTAGAGCCAGGTAGGACTTGGAGAAAGGCTGAATCGATTCCTTCATTTTCAGTATGATGGTGTCTAGATGTTGGGATAGGAGGTGCTACCAGGACTGCAAAAAACCAAATCTCAGATTAGACGCCTTGTTCTCAGGGTGCAGGTCAGCTCTGTGCATCCTAGCTTCCCCTATTTGCTGCAGAGTTAATTCTGCTGTTGCTGTACCCCTCTGTGGTTTCTTGCACATCTGTTTCCTGCCTGATGTTGTCTAGTTGGGATGCAATGAGATCAGCTTTTCCCCTTAACCCCCTCCCACACTCCCCACAGCTCCCTCAACGCTTCTCATCCTGAGCCTGTTGCACCCAAAGCACTTTCCATCTCTTTTCCTAATGTTGCTCATTGGCGTTGTTTGTTATTTGCTGTAGAAACAGAGCTACTTCATTTGAGGAGCTCTGAAGCCACCAAACCCCTCGTGCTCTCCACGTGAGGCTCCTTCTTGCCACGGCAGAGAGCATGGCCGGCCAGCAGCACTGCCTGAGGCCGGGGAGGGAAAGGGAGCTGTTGTCTGGAAATGTAGCACAGGGAGACGGGTGAGGAAACCCTTACAAGCCCCTGGATTGTCATATGGGTAGCCCACATGGTATTCTTCTACGCTGTGTGGCTGTGCAATGACTGCTTCTGCCTTGTCACAATTGCATTTGAATGAGAGACTAAGGAAAGTTTTCATTTAGTGTTAGCGGTCTCATAAAAACATAGGACCTCTGGCTTGCAGTGACTCCCCAAGCAGGATCTT